AGACTTGTGTGGCACTGTCCCCGCTTCAGCTCATTTCTCTGCCCCCCCGCTATCACTTCTTTAGGACGGTCGCGTACCACCTGCCAGATGCCAAAGTACCATCGGTGGTTCGCGTATCACCAGTTGAAAAGCCTTGGCATAGGGGACAAAAGTGTTACAGAATCGGGCAGTCCTGCTAGAAATACTTTGAAACCTCCTCCCAGAGGGGAGTAACAGACACAGACTGTGAAATGGGTGTACGGGGTCTCTAACAATCCTTTGAGCTCTAAGCACATAGCGCTTATAAGCAGCATCCTGAATAATGGGAAGTGGACTTTCTATCATCTTCTCAACTGTCTTTACCACTCTCTGTATGGGCCTTCTATTTGAGGCACTGCTACCACTAAACCAAACAGTGATGCAGTTATAAGTACAAATATATTTTAACTTCTCTCTAAAAGTTACATCATATCACTCTTCTTTCTATAATCCATCCTGTTCATCAAAACCTTAGAACACAAATTCATTTATCAGTACAAAGTTGTATCTTAAATTCTGACTTACTTTGCTCCATACAGTAAGGGTTTGGGGAATATTTGGTTCCAAATAGGGCTGTGACTCCCATTTAGGACTCATCTTGGCATGTTTCTTGGCCGCGTCTCTCTTTCTTTTTGACTCATCATGCAAGAATAGTGGGCAGCTAGGAAACGCAGATCCTTGGAGAGAGAAAGCATCCATGGGAGAAACTGCCTCCCATTCATATTCTTTTTCCAGCATAAATGAGAGTCTGTCAGGACTTTTGGCAGAGGACTTATGCAGTAGAAGAAAGATGGAGGTAAGGGTGAATGCTGGTGATAACTGTTCTTCTAGAAATCTTGCTAGATGGGATTTTCTATTGTAAAAAGTTATAGAGTTGATACAGGTAGGCCTTGACTTACAACATTCATTTAGTAACTATTCAAAGTTATAACACCACTGAAAAAAGTGACTTAAGACCGTTTTTCAGTTACGACTTTTCTCCAGCATTCCCATGATCATGCGATCAAAATTCAGATGCTTGGCAACTGGTTTATATATATGACCGTTGCTGTGTCCCAAGATCATGTGATCACCTTTTGCGACCTCCTGACAAGCAAAATCAGTGGGGAAGCCAGGTACCCTTTATCAGCTGCAGTGATTCACTTAAGAACTGAGGCAAGAAAGGTCATTAAACGGGGCAAAACTCACTTAACAAATGTCTCCCTTAACAACAAAAATTTTGGGCTCAATTGTGGTCTTAAGTCAAAAACTACCTGTACTTGGTTAAATTTCAAGCATTACCTTTTGAGAACAGGTACCTTTTGCAGATGCTTTGGTACCCAGATGCTTTCTGATGTGCCCTGCCAGATCAGCACTCAATAGACTCCATTTCTTTCTGTTCCTCCATAGCGAAGGTGAAGCATTTATGACGTCTTCAGAATTTAGCATGTCCTGCTCTGTAGCCAGTTTGCCTAGAGCAGGGGTAGGCAACCTCGGCTCTTTTATGACTCATGGACTTCAACTCCCAGAATTCCTGAGCCAGGAATTCTGGGAGTTGAAGTCCATGAGTCATAAGAGAGCCGAGGTTGCCTACCCCTGGCCTAGAGCTTCTCTTTTTAGAGACCCATGATGTTGCAACACGTTCCAAGCAGGCTTGACTAAAACAGAGGCTTAATCTGGAAGAGGATTTAGAAAGGAGGAGGTGCCTTGTTTAGAACAAGGCATCTTCCTGTAACTTTGTCCCCTGCTAAGCTTTTATGAGCGTGGTGGTCTCATTCCTGACATAGCTACTGGCTGATAACATAGCTGTTACCATCTCCAGTTCTATAAGCTGAATATGTCACCTGTCTCTTCCCAGTTTGGGTGCAACCTTTTCCAGCCAAGTGCTGCCAAGATAAATTGGACTATAGCTTGGGTGTTCCCCAGTTTTATTTTCCTGTCTCCCTTCAGAGATTGACGGCAGCTTTGACATACTTCTGGAATGTTTTCTAACTTAGCACTTAAACATTTCCACCAGTGTTAGCAGACAACAGGAATCTAGAGTCCTGTACTTCAGGTGTAGTTCTCAGAGCTAATTGGTGAGAGTATGGCTCTGACCCTGCCAAATTGTGTCATAATTGCATTCTGGCATCCTGGGTTCTGTTGACTCCTGTTTAAGTTTGCTAACATCTGATTGCAGGCTTTCGTAGTTACCTGAACTGCTCTGCAAAAAGCTTATTAGAGTGGATTCCCAGATTTTGTAATCTCTTTCCATTTTTACATCACCTATCTACATACAAGGCATTGACAAATAGTAAGTAACACATGAAACCATAAATCTAAACCTAACAATAAAAGAAGTATTCAATATTACAGGCAGGGAAAACATCTGCTCTAATAAAATCATATTTGCAACCAATGTCATATGTCTTCTTTTTCAAGCACGTTTAGATCTTTCCCATGAACCCCAATCCTGGTTTTGGAGCCCATGTTTACACTTCGTTTTTTACTTTTACTCAATGCACTCAAAACAGTTCTGTGCTTTTCCTTCAGAATCATTTTAGATTGAGAAAAAAGTATTCGGACATCTTGTCTGATATGATTCTGCAAGGAAATTATTTTGTGTATATTTGTATTTGTGCATTCCCTTGTTTTGATGGGGATCAGAGGACCTGTAAAAGTTTGGTTCACAAGGTCTGCTTTAGATGCAATGGCCCCCTTAAATGGGGGGGGAGTTAACCATGCCTGCTGGGCTTTATAAGAAAACAGTTCAACTTGTGTTATTCATTTCTGCAGATGGCTAAAGAAAATGCTATACATAGTTACAAGTAAGCTCTTATCTCCTTGCCTCTTTTCCTGATCTGAAGTTTTGCTAAATGGGGAATAATCATCTTTCTTATGTAGCCTAAATGGAAAAGAAAACTATATCCAAAAACCATGTTTGGATTTTTTCATTTCTGAAAATGAAAAAAAAAATCTAGAGTCTTTCTTCATAACTACTGTATTAGGGCTAAGCTAAATGGATAATTAATTATATATTCTCCGAGTAGTGGAATTTGAAAATCTACCGATTGCTATGGATCTGTCAGCCTACAAGGAACTTTCCACTAACACCAGCTTCCTTTTTGGGATGAGTTGTACTTCTAGGAAGAGTAAGTTTCATAATGATTAGTTCAGGGGTGTCCAATTTTGGCAACTTTAAGACTTGTGGACTTCAACTCCCAGAATTCCCAGCCAGCATGGGCAATTGAAGTCCACAAGTCTTAAAGTTGCCAAGGTTGGACACCCCTGGACTCTAGAGTATTTTATTTTAATAGTAATGTGTTTGCTGACCAATCTCAGTGGTTCTATTTAGTTTTCAAACTTTTAATAATAAAACAATTCTACAATAAGAAGATGGCTGATGGCTACTTACAGCTTTTGAGCAAGGATGTTATGGCTGCATAATGATTATCTATAACTTGGCCTCCCCAAAAAGTGATAAAAGGGCAGCCTGGTATCTTACAGCAGCTGAAACAAGAGAAAGATTCCTTTCCACATTGTAATTAAGCTTTATTTTGTGACCCTTCCTTTTTTTTTAATGCTAGGGCTTTTTAATTCAAGTGATCTGCTTAAGCCCTTTGACTATTCTCTGATCAAAACCTGACAAATTGTGCTATTAAAGCAAAGAGTTACATTACTATGAGAATATTTGGGCTGGATCACAGAGTATATAGGCTCATTTTTATCAGCTGCTTGGGGGAACACAAGAGCTCCAGCCCTCTGATCATAGAGACTGCTAATGGTTGCTGGGGAATTCTGGAAATTGAAGTCAACTCGTCTTCAGGTTGCCAAAATTGTGAAACACTGCTGCATAATTCAAAAATGAACACAGTGCTGCTTTGTTTTTGAAGGTAATTTCAAGCTTTCGTTGGGAAGAGACTCTATTATATTGCATGAATACACAGTAAAGGCACGATAAATGCTTTTAAAAGTTTTTAAGATCAACCTCCTTGGGATAAACCTAGCAGTTGTTAATCACCCTGTTTGGATAATGGGTGGCCAGATTCAGTTAAAATCACATTTCAGTACCTCCCAATAGTCAATGTCTTATTTCCTGCACAATAAGCTTTCTCAACAAAACACGTGTTTTAATCAGACCTAAGTCATTTAGTCATTGATTTAATGAATCTTTTTTTAAGTGTTGCATTGTTGGCAGAAATCTGTCACTCCTAACAAGCTCAAACCAGTTATTCATCATTGTCTGTGAAGAAAGTATGAACCAACTCAAAATATATCCTAGAACCTGAATAAAATAAAAGTAATAAATATCCCAGAAAAAGGCAGTGGGAGATCACTTCAGTGTTGTTGTCCCCAAAATGACAATATGTCTTTGAAGTCACCAGATCCCAGCTCAGAAGAGACTTTTATGTATAGTGTACTGTAAGGGCTATGAAAAATAAGCATGTAGGTGTGTTGCATTTTGGAAATGCTTTTTTATACTTATGAATGCTTGTTGGTTATGAAGTTGGGAAATACCATCTTCCAAAAGCTTACTTGTATATTGTACACAAAATAGACTGCATTATTTTAATTGACTGGGTTTGGACTTTGAAAAGGCACATGGTTTGTGGTGATCAAAATTAAGGTCTTCTTTGATTTTAGCTTGATTGTTGGGACCATGTAGACCTGTAATTTTCCTGACAATATGGAAGGGACTTGCCATTGTCATCTTCTAGGATATTGCTTTAGCTTTCCAGTCTAGCCTATTACCCTGATAATCCTTGGTGGGCTCCCCTACAAGTACTAATTAGGCCCACCCTTGCTTTGCTTCTAAGCCTGTACATTACTCTATAAAGTTGACCAGGTGCTGCCACATGTTTGAATGGTTTATTTTGGAAAAGCATCACCATTACTGGCTGTTAAATATCTTGTCAAAACAATACCTCTGTTTTATTGATATTCTTTAAAAATCACTATCTTTGTATTGCTCCAAATGTCTAATACTTCACTTTTCTATCCCTCCCTCCCCTTGTCTCTTAAAGTTGCAGGAATCATTACTGCTGACTTTGTATCCGGTTTAGTGCACTGGGGAGCAGATACATGGGGATCTGTAGATCTGCCAGTAGTTGGAAAGGTCTGACTTTTTTTTTCTAGTGTGTGTGTAATATGTGTGTTGAATTGTATATAATCTGAGTGAGCTGTTAAGTTTATTGCTTTCCCTGTATCTAGGGCAGGGCTGTCAAACTCGCATTGACGTGTCGCGACATATCGTGACTTTTTTGCCATTGCCGGCAATGGGGTGGGCGCGGTTTCGCTATGATGCATCCGGCCCTCAGGCTGGCAGTTTGACACCCCTGATCTAGAGCTTATTAGTTCAATATACTTAAGATAGATAATAGTTGATGAAAAATCTCTACTGGGGTTCACATACTGTGCTAAACCATAATATGTCTTCGATTAGATAAATTGTGCTAAACTATAATTGCCACAAACTACAGTTTATGGCATAGCATGTTATAGTGAAATTAGATAATTACATCTTATTGAGTTAACCAAAGTTAAATAAACCATAGTCTTAGAGATTAATGATGATTTATAACTAGCCTCTTATTCGAATGTCACAGCAAACCTGTAAGTCAAGGAATGGAAATGCAAACACAAAGGGAAGAAAAGAAAGTGTGGTAGCCTCCAGCACCATTCACTAACCCTTCATTAATGTTTCATTGTGATATGTGAACCAATCCATCATTAATAAAACAGGTTGCTTTTAGGTATTTTAAAATAAGACAAAGATAAATTGTCACTTTTTGGCTGTTTTCACATAATATTCAGCCCTGGTTAGCATAGCTAATTTAGTAAATAAGTAACAGTTGAATTGGCATAACAAAACCACTTTGTTTGACTTTGCATAACATGCTAAGTCACAAACTAAGAAATCATATTTTGTCTCAGCAAGTTTTGTGAATTTAAACTACGCTAGTTAATATTGAAACATCTTATTTAAGTGTTGTTTATTAAAGTGTTTAGTTTGTCTATAGTTTATGACTTCAAAATAGTTCCAGATTACATTTTTGGAGTATTTCCCAGTTTGCTTACTAGTTTATGTTATTATATACTTTAATCTTAATTCTAATGCCAGTGCCTTATTTGCAGATCATTCCCCCCATTCCAATTTTAATAACCTTGGTGCAATATATTAAAGTCCATATACATACAGTATTGAATTAAACATTCTAGATGGATAAATAAGAAGAAACAAAGAGCTGTCTGTAGGATATGCTTTATGGCTAGCTTTTAATATTACATTTATTTGCTTACATGGTACTCGTACTGAGGAGGTAAAGAGGTTAGACTTGGGCTAATGTAGTACTTGCAGTAAAGTGATAGTTAATATATAATCATTTGACACATTCAAATCTCAGTGCTCCTTTTAATTTCCTATGTTGCTTTAGATAACTTTTTAGTATATGATACTTGCCTAGGGTCAAAATCCTGATAGGACAGGATGGTGGCTGTTCTCTGATCCACACATCAGGTACATCTACTGCTAGGGCCAAGTTATAGTTCTGATGTCCCATTGATGGCACATACAAAGAGTGAGGGCTTTAACTACCCCTTTCATTTTGATTTTTTTTGGACACTCCCCTGCAATTATCTATTTAGGTATGTACATAAGTAGATCAGTAAAATCTGTGGGTGCTAAGGCCTCATCCGAGCTAAAAACTATAGTTTCATCTTTCTGCTTTTTACTACTTTCAGGCATTTATCAGACCTTTCAGAGAACATCACATTGATCCAACAGCAATTACCAGGCATGACTTCATAGAAACCAATGGCGATAACTGCATGTTGACGATAGCTCCGCTGGCAAACATGGCCTACAAATTAGCTTCTTTATCATCAGGTAAGCGGGAGTCCCACAGATCCATGAGGAAGCTAGACACAGCCTTCTAAAGAGTAGTGAGCAGGCCTCTGAAGACAATAATTTAATTCTATGCACATTTCCAAAAAAAAGGTTAATGAAGCTTTTCACCTTGTATATGGAGTAAATAAAAGTGCAAGGGTAAACAGCGAATAAAGTAGGCAGTTCTGTATGTCTGTTATACAAATTGGAGTACAGTGTTACTTCTGATGCAAATGTTCTTTATTAGAGTGAACTTACTATGCAGTTGTATTGTAACACACAGTTTAGCTGCTGTTCAGTGAGAGTACAATAAATTCTGTATTCTCTTATTTTTAGAAGCGTTACACCAAACATGTCCTTGGGAGTGCTACGTCTTTGCCCTGTCTGTATTTGCAACCTTGACCAACCAAATTCACAAGTGGTCTCATACCTACTTTGGTCTTCCTCGCTGGGTAATTTTTCTGCAGGACTGGCATGTTATCCTGCCACGGAAACACCACCGGATCCACCATGTGTCTCCTCATGAGACATATTTCTGTATTACGACAGGTAAAATGAAGTGAAACTCATTATGTGGCAAAAATTAAATTTCTATCTAGCTAAGTAGCCTCTTTAAGACACAGATGAACTGGAGGATTTCTGTAAGGTACTGAAAAAGAAAACAGCCGAATGTTCTTGTTGTTGCTTAGTGTATGATTTCCTGTTCTGTTCCATGTCCTCTTCTGGGCTCTGGCTACACAGAGATCAAAGACAGAAAAAAAAATAATGGAAAATACGAATTGACTAAAAAGGCTATTTCCTACTAAATTGAACTGCTGTTCTCAGGTTCACATTCACTGTAAGTCATGGTTTATTGAATGTGTCAAGTCTGGTATGCTAAGATATAAACCATAGCTTATGGATTCACATGTTAACCCCAAACAAAATTTAGTGTGGTTTGATGTGTTTGAACTTGAGTTCAACAGACTTTAGATCAGTGGTTCTCAACCTGTGGGTCGGGACCCCATTTGGGGTCGATCGACCATTTCATGGGGGTCGCCAAGCAAGGCTGTCCACCCTTTTTTTTGTCCGCTATTTTTTTTGTCCGCCATTTTTTCCCCCCTTTTCCAGCAGGTGCCTTACCTCCCTTGGGCTGGGCCAGCTGGTGGTCGGCCTGTTCCATCTCTGCCGCTTGCTAGCTACACCTCAGCCGGCGCAGGGGGCGGAACCACGCATGCGCGGCGCTCCTGGGCAGGGAAAGTCCTCGACTTACGACCGGTTGGGTAGTCCTCGACTTACAACCGGTTTAGTCCTCGACTTATGACCGGTTTAGTCCTCAACTTACGACCGGTTGGGGTCGCAGCATTAAAAAGGTTGAGAACCACTGCTTTAGATAAACCAGAAGTTATTTTAATGTGTGAAGTTCGTCATTAAAAGTCTGCCATTCTAAATGGCTTTGGAATGCTCTTGTATGGATTTCAATAATCAGAGGAATAATTTCAAAACAATTCCACAGTGTGAATAAAACTGAAAATTGCACCTTTCTCTGTTAAAATGACATCTTTATTTCTTACATTCATTTTATGCAATAGTATCTTAAAAACAATTTAATTCAGTTACCAAAAATGCTGCTTGACAATTTACACTCACATATTGCTCCTCTTCTATAATCTTTCTAGGCTGGCTGAATTACCCACTGGAAAAAATGAGATTTTGGAGATTCATGGAGAATATCATTGAAGGACTGACAGGAGAAAAACCCAGAGCAGATGACATGAAATGGGCCCAGAAAATAAAATAACCCTTGCCAGGCTTCTGCTGTTGTGAAAACCTGTTGCCAATTTTTTTAAAAGAAAAAAAGCCATCAGCCAAATTAAAAGACTTGCAGAGAGTTAATGGACTAAAGCACAAAGCTTTTTAAAAAGTGCTAACAGACTGCAGTTAAAAGACTCACTCCTCAAAACAATACTTGAAAATGCAAATGGATAATTCTCGTCTGTTACTGAGCACCTTCTGTTAGCCACATTTGCTGATAACTGAACATTGTCATCCTTGACACTCCAAAGCCATTAGCTGGAGAAGGCAGTGTACCTTCCTAGTAACATTTGTCATTGGCACGGTAATGTGTTGTATCAACATGAATTCCCACTCTGAAAATGATTTTAAGGCCATATGGAATGGCAAAGTTCGCAAGCTAGCTCCCTGTTTTTAAAGTTTTAACAGTTGCTACCTGAGAATTGGAGGGAAAGGTATTGTCATCACTTTAATGCACTTAGTGTTTGGTGCATCCTTCCAGTTGCTTCACCTTGCTATCATATCAAGACATTGTCCATATGGTGTGCAACAGAATATTTGGGAGTCTCAGCCTAGTTCATTAGCGTTACTTAAAGCTGACTATCTCCTAAAATAAAGAAGTGTTCCATTCCTTGATATTTGAGCTGCCCATTGCTGTATCACCCTACAGCTAACTTTGTAGCAGTTTGGGATGGGAGTGAGGCAGGACAGAATTTGTGTTCTGCACAAATGTCAGACTTAAATTACTTCCATTGGATCATGTAGTGTTCAGTAATTGGTTTTATTCAGTATGATTCCTCTTCCAAAATGTTTAAAATAGCTATAGAAAATTGGTCATTGTCAAATTTGAATGTTAGAAGGATTACGTTAATGGTGTGTGTGATTAAGGTGCTTGCTCATTTCATGTAAATATCATAAAGCCTTAATTACTTCTTCGGTGTAACATGGAATAACAATTTTAATGTGGTCTGAATGTATATAATTTATAACAAAGCAGTTCAATTATACTAATTGCATTTGTTAAGTCTTGTTGCCATTTTTGAGGGGAAGGGTAAAATTGCACCTCCAGGGGTTTTTTAAACAGCATATGCAAGCAAAATCAGCAGTGGGTTTTCTGTTTTGTATACAAGAGTGTCCTACAAAACACTTTTTATTTTTGCGATAGACTTCTGTGCCTTTCTATGGAGATTAGATGGCTAATCTGTGTCTAAAATGCGACTGTTTCTGGCTGTATTTTTTTAATTTAAGAAAAAGCTTGCACATTCTCCCTCTTCCTTGTATGTTTGAGATTTTTCTATTTAAGAACAAATTCTTAACTTCACACCATGACTCTGATATGTCTTGCCTAGAATTGCCTTTGGCACACTAAAATCTTAGTTTAAACAGAGAACACTAAAATTAACAAAATGGAAACTAAGAAAAGAGATATAATTAAAAAACAGATGAAGGCAAACAAAAGAGATACATGTGCCACTTCTGAAGAACAATCCATAGAAAAAGCAAGTATCACAGAGTCTCTCAGCGTTACTGTGATAGCAGGATTTCTGATTAAGATTTTAAACCTTGGGACAAGTTTGAGTGTATTTCTTACTTGGAACAGTCCATTTTTGTTTTGGGGGGTGTTTTTTTTCCTTCAGGTCAGTGTTGATTCCTTTTGAATGCCTAAAGTAATGCTTGCAGTTTTCTTGGGAAGGATTTTTAGAAGTGGTTTTCCCTTGCCTCCTTCCTAGGGCTGAAAGTGACTGTCATCCAGCTGGCTTTGTGTTTTAAGGCGAGACTAGAATTCACAGTCTCCTGGTTTCTAGCCTAATGCCATAACAACAACAACAACAGTGAAGCATTTCAGTTTGTATTGTTCTACTGAAACATAGCTGTTAAATTGTGGCTTTGAATTATCTCTCTCATACTCTGTGTGTGTGTGTGTACGTGCACACGCAAGCTGGCTGGGGAATTCTGGAAGTTGAAGTTCTTACATCTTGAAAGTTGAAAAATGTTGTCGGGTATCACAGAATTTTGAAAACCTGTCCACATTCCCTTCTGCCCTTTAACACCATCCAAATCACAGCATGGTCATTTTGACCCTTTTCCTTCTGCTTTCTCCTTTCCCACAGCTGAGATGTCATTTTCTGTCTTATTAGCTAACAGCAATTCATGCTTGCAAATACTGGAACTTTGCCTTTTGCTACTATTTTATTCCATGGCCCAGAAATTCAGAGCAGTATAAATGAGTGTCAGATTACAGGGAAGAATAAAAAATTGGGTACATAGTAGACATTCTCCCTTTAGCCATCCCGGAAGGCAAATTCCTGGAAGCCCATTGGATCAGGTATAATGTACTCCCATGGAAGACTTTTTTCTAGACTGAGCCTTTTTTCCTCCAATTTAAGATGATAACTTCTCCAACCAGTATTTAAAATATTTCTGGTTGTAATGAAAAGTTTTATATTAGCTGAGAACTGAGAGAAGTCACCTCTTCTGTAGCAAAATTTTGCTCCACAATAACACAAGGAACACAATTCTGATGTGAGAAGATTCTCCCATGACCATCTGCAGGGTCAGCTTTGCTTACGTGGGAAAAGCACTGAATGCTTCATTAAGTATCAGGTTTTATTTTGGAATATTACAGTAGACAGCAAAGTTTTGAACTGAATTACTGACACAAAAAGGCACACTAGTTATTCTAGCTGATAAGCCACTTGGACCAAAGGCAGTGAAAGCAGCCAATCAACTACGTTGCCCTGGAAGTACTGATTGTACAAGAAAAGAACCCCTTAAGCCTAGTGCTCTGCTCATGACTCTTGCCATATTGTGATTTATATCAATGCTTGCAGAAACCAACTGTGCACCATTGACTTTACAGAGGGCCCATTTTGAGTGCAAGATCAAGGAAAAGTCCGCAACTGCCCACTTCTTGCTTGAACATACACTCCACCCACCCAAGGCAAGTCTCAACATTTATTTTTCCCTCTTTTTCCCCCCAAATCTACACTTTCTTATAACGTTATACTAAGGGAAGTAAGTAGTTCCCTTAATTACAAGTAAACTTCATACTAGACAGGAATCTGAACTGGCATGTCTCCAGGTCTAGTCGAACAAAAACCAATAAAACATTCGCACTTTTTTAATTGATTTTTTATTTTATTTTTCTATTCTGACTCTTAATTATGTTCCTAAGTTTTACCTGCCACAATAAATGTATTAAATGTTTGAAGGATCTGATAGATGTTTATGTTTCATTTGTTTTAGAAATAATTATTTTGCTTAAGTAATTTGCCAAACTAATTTTGTCAAAGATCATCTATGAAATCGTCCCAAAGGTGCTTTTCAAAAGGCAACGGGACTTTGTTTTTTTTTCTTCCTTGAAAACATTTCACTTCTCATCCAAGAAGCTTCTTCAGTTCTGGTTCTAGGATGAGAAGTGAAATGTTTTCAAGGAAACCCCCCCTCAAAAAAGTCCAGTTGTCCTTTGAAAAGTACCTTTGGGACAACCATGACCTAGATCAGGGGTGTCAAACTGCCGGCCCGCGGGCCGGTTTCATCATACCGGAGCCACGCCCACCCCATTGCCAGCAATGGCGAAAAAGCTCCGATACATTACACGACGTCACGTGACATTGCGAGTTTGACATGTCTGACCTAGATGATTGAGAATCTCCACAGACATTTATCTACAAAACTTAGATGCTTTCTGTTCATCCTTGGACATCAGTTTCAAAGTTTATGGTGTTTTTTTTCTATAATATTGCTTATGTTATAAAGATTTGGAATATTTCAAATTCAGAATCACTAGTATACAATTTTTCAGAAATATTGGGGAATGAGAGACCAAGAATTTAAGTCAGACTGTAATTAAAGTCCATTTCTAGCCTAATAGCCATATTGAGCCAGGAATGAAAAGCAGAAATCTTAAACGAATTCTATGCTGATAAATGAACAGTTCTCCCTGTCTCTACTGAAAGTCTCCAACAGATTGTATTATTATGTATTATTAAGGTTGTCACATAGTGAGATATTCAGACTAGATTTGGGAGTTTTGTCCACCTATCCAGTCATTCCCAAGGACCTGGGATAGGAAGCGGTGGATGTTTGATGATCTTAAAGGTATAGTTGCAGAATGAAAGCTTTTCAGAAAGAAATATTTTCATACGTAATTGTCTTAGCTTTTATTAAGCTAGTCTCGATAAAAAATAAAATAAGGGAATTTTGCACCTTTAAATTCACCTTTTCAGTTTCTCAACTTTGTCACAGCATCATTTTTAGGTAGTTGAAGACACCTGCTGGTCAAAGATAGATATTGCAACCATAAAAACATTAAACATGGGAATATAAAGACATTCTTTTAAAGGGCTTGAATGTGCTGCTATTTGTTTTTGCTGATACTACATAATAAGTAACTCTAGAAGGACTCCCTAACTTTAAAAGAACTTGTCCTACCACTCAACTATTGAAGAAAAACACGCCCCAAAGTAGTAACTCAAAAAAATAGAAATTAAATTCATAATTCTGAATACCTGATTCGATATCAGTCGAACTTTAGGTGATCAAAAGCTGAACCCAAGTCAGCAGCATGATGCAGCCAGGCAAAAAAAGGCAAATGAGGCATCCACAGGGGAAGTCAAGAGTCAACATGGTGACTAGAACCACATGATTGAAGCCCCATCATTTACATGTGTTGCTGTGAGCAGCATATTAAAAAAAGATTGTTGTTCAACCACACAAGTGTAGATTACCATTTTAATTTTTTTCATACTCATACACATATCCTTAAAGGCAAATGTAATTTTAGAATGCACCCACAAGAGTAAACTTTCCAAAGCACTGGAAGGAACAGTTCCTCTATGCTCAGTATTGGTCAGACCTCACTTTGAGTACTGTATGCATTCTGGGCACCAAGTGTCACGCCCCACCGGGCGTGCCATCCGCTAGCGGGGTTTGGGAACCCGCCCGGGGAAGCCAGCCGCCGCCAACCGCCCCGCCGAAACGCCGCTACCGCCCGCCGCTGCCCAGCACGTTCCGGGAAACCCCTCGGCCAGCGCGTCTCACCGTCGGGGTTCCAGCGGCGACCCTCCCCCCCTCCTGCCTGCTCTCCGCGGCATGGCCCGTCGAGCCAGGCACGAAACAACCCGGGCCGCCGCAGACGGACAAAGGGGGAGCGCCGGAGGCTCTGTGCGACGGGGCGGAGCCGGGCAACGCTGCGCAAGGCCGAGCCTCCACCGAAAGCGCCGGAGAGGCCGAGGACGCTGTAACCGAGCTGGGCCAGGCCGGAAAGGCTGCGGAGGGGGAGAAACCGCGCCAGCAGGCCAATACACACCGCGGTGGAGCTCCGAGGCCCGAGCAACAGTTGGAACCGGCCTGGGACTTTGGCGGTCAGGGAGCTGCCGGAAAGGAAAGCCGGGCGAGGCAGTGGAGCATGACTGACTCCGGGGAGGGGCGGGGCTGGACTAAGGGGACCTTTATCAGTGCAGGGCGGATGCTGGCTTGTGGTTGGGGGCGGGATGATGGGGCATGGCACCTCTATTTACAGCACTGGGAGCAAACCACTCCCAGTGCTGACTTTGTTTCAGGTTGAAATAAACTTCCACTGAATGCACATCGTTCCTGCGTCCTTGGTATTTCTCAGACGTCATCGGACGGTGTGACAGTAAGTCAGCACTCCCCCTTATCCTATTGCTCCTTGGCCTGTCCCTTGTTTCGAGGGGATGGCAGAGGGCAAGCAGGACACTCCACAGGGAGTGGAGGAAGAGGCTCCGGCTGGAGCCACGGGTCTTGCACCCGTCACAGAGGCCTCAGATGTACAACCAGTGGTCAGGCCAAAGGTGACCAGGGCCGCAGTGCCGTCAGGGGAGGTCCGGGAGACCACAGCTTCAGGGGGTGCTGCGGAGTGGTGGCAAAGCCCCGCGTTGGCCAACCTGGAAGCCGCGCAAACTCGCACCCCGGGTGCCAGGCCTCCTCTCATGGAGTGGAGAGAAAGGCGGGTCACAGGAGATGACGAGGCGGAGTGGAGCTACTCGACAGCGCCGGG